CAGTTCTGCTATTTCATTGGTTTAGTCTTGACCTCATTCTGACCAATCAGAAGGGAACAAACAATTGACCTGTTTAAATGTTTGCCTCTCTGAGATGACTTCCTATCATAGACCATAGGTGGGATGCCTCAATCTGTCGATGCAGCACCCTCTACTACATTTCCCACTCCCACTGTTTACTCGCATCCAGCTAATTTACATCCTCAAACCATAGAGTCCGCAGAAACCAGAAGGCCCAACTTCGAATGTGTAATTGTGTAAATGTGTAATTGAACCTGCGGAGGGTGTTTCGTGTGACCTCTTAGGCAAGGTAGCACAACAGTGCCAATTCCACAATCATGTGGTGGCCTGTGCATCACGATCCAAATGACTCTAATCTTTTTTTAGAAATAGGATTTTCTGGTGCAGTCTAGTGGTGCTTGTATACGTCAGTTTGGACCCAGTCAAATTCCAAACTTCGAAACCAACATCTTCACGTGACAATGAGTATGAATGAGGCGGGGGAACCACACGTGCGAATGCAACTACTGGATCGCGATCAAACGTGCAGGAGGGTTGCATGCCTGCGTATTTCAAGCTTTTGACTGTATTGCTTTGGCCTCGTGGTGATCAGGATCAAATCAAAAGTCTTTATGTTCTCGTTATTGCCCAATTAGGAGGAAGTGATGGAGCCTGCTAGTTTAGAGGCGTTTTAGATTGTTGGGGAGCAAAGTAGCACAAAATATATAACTTTAAGCTAATTAATGGAGAAACTTCTTTAATGATGAGGGCATCCCCGTCAGCTCATAAGTATCTAATCACTTACACGAGCGAAACGATTAAGATTTTCCCTTATAGGGCAACCAATTAAAAAAAATTGAAAAATATCAATTTGGTTCTAGTAGAGGTGACTAGTATATCATTTTATTACCCAAATACGCATGCGATACTTGATCATGGGTATTCATTTCTTTATTTTAGACCACAGTCTAAAAGACTAAATTTCTTCTTAGTGTACCATCAGTACTTATCATCCCCCTGGCTTTGGACATCACCTCAGATTCATGATGTTTCGGTCATGCCTATTCCATCTCCAAAGGTGACTCCATTTCTACGTCGGCGACAGCAGTAAGTAGACTCACCCAAAATCATTAGTGACCCTGTTTTAGTCCAACAAAAACACCATCTCGATGTTGCGATAGTTAATTTTTTCCGATTAGTTTTCGGAGATTCTGACAGCCCACACTTTTGCCATGACATTAAAAGTTTACCTTTACACTGCTTAAAATCAAATACTTCTGCCAAATTTGAGTTGGATACTGAATCTGCTGTGAAGTAGAACTGTGACGCCACGTTTCATATGAGTCTTTCCTTAGTGCAGTTCCACTTGCAAGGAGTGTGACATCTAGGCGTCCACAAGAGGTGTCAAATTCAACTTTCAATAGAAAAAAGAACTATGCGCTCTAAAGATTTGGAGTTTCTGACATGTTTAATCCAAACAGGCTCTTCTACCTTGCTCACAATGTAACCTATTCATGTTTAAAGTCCCCTTGCCTTTCGAAATTTTAAAAACAGTGGAGTAAGTGAATAGTAGTTGTAACATAAAAAGGCAGTATATGTTAAAGCGTCAAAAATTTGCTAAAGACAATTAATTGCTACTAATGGATACAGGACAAGACACGACCCAAACATTAATTTTGCTCGCTTTTAAGGCTAAAATGTCACCATGACCAGTGTAATGATAGCAGGGAAATAAAACAAAACTTATCAAAATTTTTAGCTAATAGGGCAACGAAGGAGACGGCGCAAGATTTGTTTACTAAATATAAAAAATCTAAATTATCTTTCAATATACACTTTAGGATGAATTTTGAGGATGTTAAAAGGTTTCGGTAATTTAAATGGTGATTATGAATGTTGTCGAAAAGCCCTGAATTCGAAAGAAGAACAGGAAAAAATGACATAATTGTTGACAATGCGCCAGGAGGTGGAATCAAAATGTGTTTGCGATTGCACGTTCATCTAATTAGCAACAACTTTTCTGCTAAATGCATTCCCATGAGGGAAGATTTGTGCTACACTCGGAGAAAAGTTGAGAAAGGGGAGGGGGAAGGGAAAAAACAAATTTATATATTTCAAATCAACTTTTGGTAAAACTTGAAAACAACATTTTGGCATTCTAAATGGGACTCAGTTCAATTTTCCAAAACATTCGATTTGACACTTTTCGTCATTTGTGCATTTTTAGCGATTTTCGTTTAGCAATTGAATAGGCGCATTTGCCTCCAAAAAATTGCGAACTTTGCACTTTTGGTTACTAGACAATTTGAAATTTTTAAAAGAGTGAGATTAAATTCGTAGAGCTTAAGACTGATCAACCTTCGTTGGTTTAAATATTAAAAAAAGAAGTTTTATCAATCATTTCAAGAGAGGAAATCTTACAAGTCACGAAACTTTGGGTGTTGTAGTCTACACCCCAAATACTAAAGTATAAGCAACTGTTCTTTCACCTCGCGTCAAAACAGCTTAAACCCAGTGACACATCCTCTCAAGCATTATGAATTTCTTCTTCCCCTTCTACGACCCTTTTTCTTCTCGATACAAGTAAAAGAATAGAAGCGGTGTCAACTTCAAGTGAAATGAGGGGAAAATAGACAGACTAACGTCTCATTTTGTATCATTCCATGAAATGGTGCCCCTCTGGTACCCTCAGTGGTGATCTCTTTTGCCTCAACCGTGGCAACGAAGCCAAGGCTTCAAGGATCGTCCACGAAGATCAGATTTGCATAAAGGCGGAAAAATATTCAATCCGCCAGTTCAATGAGCCAATTTGCGGGTTACGAAGACCATAGAGTCATGCCGCCCTTTTTGAACTAAACCGTGGGGACTCATAGAATGTTGGTTGTTTAAATAAGGTCTGGTGAATTGGAGGTGTTTTGATGTACTCAACGGATTTGAACCTAATAGCAGATCCTTTTAAGAAGCAATAAATCTAACCACTTGTGTTTCTATCATACTTTTTTTGGCCTATTAACTATACGGGTGCCTGATACAAGAAAAAATAGCTGTCAGTAGGTGATTTAGCAGGTTAATATAAATGATGTGGTGTGCCATCTTCTCTCTTAATCCCATCCAATAATGTAAACCCCATAATCATTGCGTTACCACGCAGGAATAAAACTTTGTTTTCACCATTTCAGCAGTGCAGTGAGTCATTTTACACCGACGATAAATCTCAGCGCTGATTGTTGGGGCATTCGAAGGGGCGAAACCTTGTGGATGTGAAGTGGAGCACACCTTGGGGTGTGGAGTAGGTGGGTTTTTTAATTACAACCAATGATATACTCGTTCGTTCAACTAACCTGGCTAGGCAAAAGCTCAAAAACCATCTCTTATCACAGGCGAATCAGTTTGTAAGTCATTCATTCTGTCAACACATAGTCAGAGATGCACAGTGGGTTTTTGTAATACTGTAGTCAAGTGAATGAGGGAAAGAACAATTTGACAAACAGCCAATCTTATTGTTGCCTGTCCAAGTCTAACACGTGGGTGAGACCCATTTTCTCAGTGGCTTTGGTTCTCCGACTAGACCTCTCCCATCGGCAAACACGAGTGAAGGCGGTTCTATCCACGTTGCTTATGTATTTCCTGCTTTCTACGAACAGAGGCTCTTTCTCTCCGTGATGCTTCATCAGAATCCACTTGGTTCGAGACTGCAGGCTGTTGCAACATGGCATACCGTCCTCCCTCCAAATCCAACTTGTCAAGCCTGCAAGCTCGAATTACATTCATCAAATCCAGCTGACACTATGACATTCGGCTCAAAAGTGCTCAAAAGTATATGAACTTTTGACCCACAAATAGCCTCACTGAGTAGTCGGAATCCATTCCTACATGCCGCCTCCTTCGGTCTCAGCAATTTGAAAGCCGAGAGAATTACACCACTGCACAATTCCGAAGGACTCTGACTTCTTTCCCCTTCGCTAACAGCTCTAACGGCCATTCTGTTTGGGTTTAGATAGATTTAGCTATCAAAGGCGATAAATGGTGACATTTTTTTCCAGAAGTTTTGACGGTTGAGGTTAGATAAGCCTCATTTGCTAATATACCAAAAAACTGAGAAGTTGTTATCGTTCATTGGATATACACGGCGACTGAAATGGACAGATTTTGGTTACCGACTAAAAAAAGAAGGAAAAAAATTTATTTTTCCTAGAGGTCTGTTTAAATAAGCCTACATGGTCCGGCTTTATGTTCTTAATACACATTTCTAGACGATTGCTTTGAAGCACTAAAACAGGATAAATGACAGGTAGTTTTAAATGCTGCTTGAATAGTGTGCGAGTTGGTGGACATTTCAAATGTAATATCGGAAGCAATTATGAAATTCCCATGTCCGCTAGTTTTACGGCACTTCTACACTTGAAAAGTCAATCCGTCCTTCTTATTTTTAGTAAAGATTAGTTTGCTGGTTAAGATAGGCCTATTTAAGCGAAGTTTTGTTGAGAAAGATTGTCTATTGAAGAGATTTGATGAAGTGGTAAGGTACCAGTAATTTGTCAATAATTCCAAGAGCCTGGAGTTCTCGTGTTTGTCAGTCGCCTAAATTCTATTGAAGAAATCAACCAGATGAGGAACGAATGAAGACGTTTTTGTTGACTTATACAGGTATGAAAGTATCGGCGATTCCGACAAATAACCCGTGGTGTCACGTGTACTAATTATAATGCGTTGACCTTGACCCTAAAGTGTACTTAAACGCCGTCCCAGCTGTCTAGACGGGGGGGGGAAGAGGGGAAAGGAGCGCGAGAAGACTGCTAAGTTGGTCCCGAAATGGAAATTTTTAGAAATTGGCGTGGGAAGGTTATTCTGGGGCTGATGGCATCACCATGGTCACATCCTTATGATTAAAAGGGGCCAGAAGAACATTAAAAAGCTGAGAAATAATGCAAAACAGTAAATTTGCGAAATGATAAGGCTTTTTAAATTGTAGGCTAGTCCGCATGGACTAATCCGTGGCCATGGTGTCAGGTCTTCCGGACAATTGTGGTGCCTCTCCTTGTCGCGAATTCCACTTTCGGGTACGGTTGGGTATACAAAAGGCAAGTGAGAATCCCGCCCTGTCCCCCTTGTCCCTTCTATCTTGCTTCGGTTTTTCTGGTCGTCTACTGTCCAGAAAAGGTGGTAGTCGTCGCTCCACGATGAGAGAAAGGTCAAGAGGCATTTTCTCCTATCTTACTCTCCTCCTTTTCCTCAATCTCATCCCAAAGTTCACATATCATGCATGATTATCTCCATGTAAGGTACAATTCATTAGATCGTGCCTTGCCTTGAAGGTATAGGTCTTTCCTCCGAACTCGTATTCTTGATCGGCTTCTCCTGATTGGCCAATATAGCGCACAGATCGACTAGATAGGTGCTACTAATTGCTACAAGGCTAAAGCAGTATAATTATAAACTATAAATGCGTTTGAATTCAAACACCTTGTGCGTCCCACAGAGAGCCAGCGGTCGCGTACGAACGCGTCGCACCTCTTCTGACTCGATGGAAAATAAAGAAGTCAGTGTTGAAGCCTCAGTACTGCAGTTAGGAGCTTGACAGGATCCAAATTGACGCCCACAAACACCACCGGTTGATAGCAGCAATTCCCTATTCTGAAAAGGACTAAATAGTCTTTTCGATGGTGATGCATCGACCGCCACATAGTTGTGGGGGCAGCGCGTTGTTATGCCACCAAATCTCCTCAAAATGCTCTACAAGAAGCCACGCAAAATAACCTCTACCGCATTTTATGCATAGGTGAACTGGTTTTGCGACGGTAAGAAAGTTCAAATTCACATCTAGGCTCAACAGCCACTCTGATGCGAGGGTGTGAAGTAGGAAGAGAGAGGTACTAGACAGGAGGGGTGGAGAGTAAAGAGTAAGGTTTGGTAAAGAGAGCTGCACCGGTGTTCTGAGGCATTTAATTTCTCCTCTATAAAGTGGTAGGTTTGCCTGTAAAGCAGGCTATTTCAGCGGAGCATCCCGCTAAACCACACAATCTCTTGGTCCTTCTTGATTGGTTAGGTCGAAGTGCAGAACAGACCAATGAAAGAGCAGAAATGTGCGAGGCAGGGTCCCCGACAGTTTTGATTGGTGGGTTAACGGTCACGTATGCACATAGCGTACCCTCATACTTACTCATAAGCACTGGCAAACAAAGACACCTGTTTTGAAGCCTTTCTTTCCGGATTACTGGAGTTAGAATTTTGACAGGACCAGGACTGCAGCAAACACAGTCAACGTGTCTGTTTATAGCAGGAATTACCTGGCCAGAATTACTCAAACATTTTTTCGTCCTTGATAAACTTCTTCAGTCGAAATTGCAAATTGATCTAAATCTTAAATTAACCACAGATTTCAAATTCTCCTATTTGTTAATTAACGTACATCCACGAAATGTCAAATCAGGTCTTGCTAGAGGGAAAATTAAATTGGGATTTTTTAAAATAATTCAAACACTTCCTTTTTATGAATGATCAAAATAACTCCCGTTTAGCGGAAGTGGTTACCCCTTATACCCGTCGGCGGCAAGTTTAATGGTCTAGCATGATGTCTAAGTGGTCCGGTTACCATTTGTGAAGGCGGAAGTGAGAATTTGTGTGGAGGTGGGTGTTTGATGCCTCGGGCTAGGGTGAATAAAATTTTGTTTTTAACAATCTAGGTGACACTTTTTGTTTTTCTGATGAAATGCTCCTTCGGAGTTAAGTTTTTTCTGCTAGTCAAGTCCCTATCAGTACTACAAGCCTTCAAGGATTCTCGTTTGCCGAGTGCCGAGGGAACTTTCCTCCGGATTTCCAAAATGGATTTACGCATCATCCAAAACGGTACAAACAATAGAGAAAGTGGCTAACTAAGTGTTTGAGATTTTCCCCTAGGCATCAATCCTTCTTCCTTCCAATTCAGAGTGCAGACGCTAAGAAAACCACTGTAAAATATTGTCTGGACTCTCGTTAAACGTTGATTTGGAGGGATTGTGAGATGCTTTGTTAGCCTCTTTTTACCTCCCGAAAGATAATAATGGCACAACGAGAAATTCCACTTTATGCAGCTGTTGTCACCGCACTCGAAACAGGCTAGTCACAGGAAGATTCCACACTTCCACGCAGTTGTTTTAAAAAATGTGTAAATTTTACTTTGAATTGTCTAAGGTGCCCTCTAGGCAATAAATTGGGCCATTACCCAACTGAAAGGTACAATGCAGAGGCCTGAATAATTCATTGCCTGTTGCAGAGGCAGTACTTTGGCGACAGAGGCTTTTGTGAGGAGAAGTGTCCAGATCGAGTGTCAGTTTTATGTTTTCTGATGAAATTCTGTTTGATCCGATAGGTCAAATAACTTCCAACTGAATTTGCTTTTTGTCTGGACCATAAGGCTTATTAAGAAAAGGATCCTGTCAATTCGGAGTGTCCGAATGCGAAAGAGAGAGGAGGAGGAGGAGGAGGAGGAGGAGGAGGAGGAGGAGGAGGAGGAGGAGGAGGAGGAGGAGGAGGAGGAGGAGGAGGAGGAGAGAGAGAGGAGGAGGAGGAGGAG